TTAGAACCTGCCGTGCATTCCGGAAGCGTGTGGAGGCCGTAATTGCAGCAAGTGGAAACTCGATCGATGATTAAGATAGTTTAAAACTCTGAGAGACATCCCCCTTGAATAAATAAAAAAAAAACTCGAAAACGAAATTTTTGAGATTTTTTTTAATTTTGGCGGAGAGAATCTCGGGAACAAATTGAGCTGACAAATCACGACCAACAACAGAAAAGAGCACATCAGCTATTGCGAAGAAAACTTCCGGAACCCGTTGTCTCGTGACTTAAGGCACGCCTACGCAAACTAACACCATCTGTGGGCCGGGGAAAGTTTCCCCTATCCGATGATGCCGGTAATTTGCGTTCGATTGGCGAGGAAAGAATAATCAACGTTTTGTTTATAAAACTTGATAGTACCATTTCAATTGTTGGTCTACAATATACTGAATTGGTAAAGCAGATTAAGTATAAAGTTATAAAGCTCCAGTTGTAAACCAAGAAAAAGTAAGTGATTTACAACCATTTCGCACTACGAAAAAGTCATATCAGCTCCACAAAGATAAGCCACAATTATATCTTAAAATTATTGTCATGTTAGGAAAAAACGTGAAGATATAAATCAATTGATTATTGAATTATGATTTGGACTCCAATTCAAACTAGACCAATAAAAATGAAAATATCCATTAAGGCCTCGTATATCTATGGATAATATCAAAAACAAGATTATACTGTGTAACAAAGGTTCTATTCACCTGCCCGGTGGATCAATATGGGTTTTAATTTCCTGCTCGATTTACTTCCTGGCCCACTGTGCACTGTGTACGATTCTGTCATGGTCAGTCTGATTGAAAGATTTCTTTCACCCAGCATTCGTTCTCCGAGAAGCGAGAAGCCGAACTGCAGCAACTCTTCGAAAGGAGCAGCCGATTGCATGTTGGCATGAGTAAGTGACGTACACCATATATACTGGTATTACGGGTGAATGATTTTTGGGCCTCCCTTAGCTCAGTTGGTAAAGGCGCAGCTACAAATCAAGACCACGCTGAAGGTGGCAGGGTTCGATTTTCGGACCGGTCTAGGAATTTGCCGGGTTGGAAAATTTCTCGACTTTTCTGGGCATAGAGTTGTGTTTGTACTTGCCACACGATTATATCAATGCAAAAAATTTACAGGCATCGAAAGTTTGCAATAAATAACTGTTGAAGTGCGTCTAGAACACTAAGTTGAGAGCATACAATAAGCTAATATCAAGCTGAACATTGCATTAGGCCCTAAGTAACATTGACAGACTCTCTTCGTCAACTTTCTCTTTGTATCCCCACGGCCATGTAAAGACATTCCCAGGAATTTTCAGCACACAGAACGATAAATGATGCTTTTATCTAGCATCTAATACGACAAACACAGCAAGAAACGATGTTGTGCTAAAGTTATTAACGAAAGAGAAAGTCGACGAAGAGAATCGATCAATGTTACTAAGGACCTAATACAATGTTCAGCTTGATATGCGATAAGCAATAAGCGTGAAATGCGAAGAAGGCTCCAAAGGCTGGTTACCCGACATGAGTGAAAGTCCGTTTTTAGTAGTGTCCAGACGCGGAAAAAAATGATGGTACTTCTTGCATCCACATAGCACATAGTTGAGGCATAAATCAGATAAGGAAATGTTGTCTTTTTATTGACTTTGGAGGTTACCAATCCATGAACTCACTCACTCACTCACACAAAAACTCGTATAGCAGTAGGCGCGAACACGGCTCACTCACTCACTCACACAAAAACTCGTATAGCAGTAGGCGCGAACACGGGACAAACCAGATTTGGCGACGTCGCGTGCACACTTTTACCGGTTGTCTTCCGCTCCGATAAATGAAATCGCACAACCCGTTTTCGCAGCAACCTTTGATTGCGTGAACTGCAACTCGTTATGGTTGCTTTGATCTATGATCCCATATCTGATTTTTGAGTTCTCATCATTCGACCTACGGTAACGCTCATCTGGGGGTCAGAAACGTGCCTTGAAAATTTTCTCAAACTACGCATTGCTTTACGATGAAAAATTGCCAATTTAAAAAAAAAAATATCGAGCCAGATAAGTAACTCTCTGCAAACCTCATCGAACCTTGAATTAAAATAATAATAAAACAACGACATAACTTAAACGCACTTGCATTGTTTGCAGCAACGTTGCTACAAAAAAAAACTATATCACCGCACGATCTCGTGTCAGTAGAAATTGCATGCATTCAAAAGAAATTACTGCCTCTTAATTTTAATTGTCGTCGGTTGGTCCAAATTTATGCACACAACATCCCGGCGAGCAGGCACGATCACGATCAAGATCGGCGGTGGTGGTGTGGCCAACAGTCGCACGTACGCCTTCCGTCCGAAACCTGACTGACCCTGCCAAATGACGAGAGCAAAACGGTACCAACACAATTTCCCATACACGGGCCCGACCAGGGGTCACCTTGTCCAAAAATTCGCGTCAATAGTGGACCAGTGCGTGAGCCGTAGTTGGCCAACGCCATACAACAATTAGGCACCTATTGACACAATTATAATATCGTTAAAGGAATATGAATGCCTCAAATTTTTGGGCAATTCGTGGCGGATCCCCCCACAACAACCACCTCATATTCAGTGCGACTTCAGACTTCTTGACCCTGGCGGCGGCGAGAACCATCTCTCTCTCTCTTGGTCCATATACCACGCACCAACATTGCCCCGATCGCAGTAGGCCTTCTCTATCCGCAAACAAAAAAAAAAGATCTCCCAAGGCACTAGTGGCAAATTACATTTTTATGCGCGTGGTCTTCGTTGTTGGTGTTCTTCACTTTTATTTTTCTTCTTATCCAAGCTGGCGGTGTTGTTGTTGTTGTTGTTGTGGTCCGAACGGCGATTTCGTAACAACGGCCGCCACAGACCTTGAGCTGAAATTTCAATTTTTTTTAAAGCATGGAACCACGAGAAGACGGAGTTTACCTTTTCTCTTTTTCTTCTTCTTCTTCTTACTGAGAGATGTCCTCCCCCTCTCGGAACGGTATAAGTTAGTACCTCCAGAAATAGCAAAAAAATTCAAGCAATGCAGCAGAGACACCCTCAGTTCGGTTCGGAAGCTGATCTTCATAAAAGACCAGTTGATGTTTGTCCATAATTCAAATGAAAACAAATTGAAAAAGAGTCGAATCACTGTCTCACGTGATGGCAGGGAAGGTGTTTGATGAATCACTCTGGTGGCGCAAACGTCATCTCAGAAAACTTTACTTGAAGCCGATTTGTTTGGTTGTTTGGTTCGGTTGGTTGGTTGATTTTTAATATAGACGCTTCAATCATCCTATGGTCATCCTTCGTCACGGTTCTTTGGATCCAAAAAAATAGTCATAGACTTACAGTTCGAGATTTAAATCAAGATTTAAAGCAAAATAATAACTTCACACTAAACTAACAAATTGACAGTTCGGTCCCACAAAGTCCCACCGAGGCACAGTGTTTTAAAAGTTGAAATATGCACCTTAAGTTTTTCTTAAGGTGCAACTGTACTTCAGAAATCTAACTTTTTTATCCCAACAGATAGAGAGTAGGTTTTCTTGACACAGTTGTAGAAAATGCAATTTCAAGCTGCTGAAGATATCAAGTTGCCATGACTTCAGTTTATCTGGCACCTATTATTCCGTGCCTCCAAGCAACCGAACAGGACGATGAAGCAGAATCTAGTGGCCAAAACACGCGCCCGGAAGTTGTACGACCGTGTTCTGACAAAGTACAAAGGATGATTCCTCATGGACGACGAAATCTACGTCAGGATGGATTTCAGGCAGGTTCCCGGACAAAAGTTTTATCTGGCCACAGCAGGGGGTGATGTCCCGAGCAAATTCTAGTTTGTTTTCGTCGATAAATTCACCGGGAAACTGATGATCTGGCAAGGAATTTGCAGCTGCGGACCCAAAACCAAACTTTTCATCACTAACAAAACAGTCTAGTACATGTTTTTAATACTGCACGTATCAAGAAACTTTCACAACTGAAACACGTGTACTTTCATAATAAATCACTGTCAAACAATTGCACATCCGACCACTAGAGACGCTGCTGTAGAATAAATAAAGTGTCCGGATTCTAAGTGGACCATACTTTAAGCAATAAAATCAGTGCCAAAATTTCAAAACGACGATACTACTATTCAGAGCATGAGCATGAGCATGATTGACCGCCCACGGTTGCTACTCTGTTATTGCCAGACCAGCTGCAATTACACAGAGAACCAATAGACGATGCTTGGGACTAGCAATCATCCTCAATGTGTAAAAACTCTCTGATCTCAAACTAGGCAATACCAGCGCCGGCCACGTCTGAACACAGGTCAAGAAAGGAAAAATGTGTTGACGTGACACTCGCTTGGATGAAAGCCGAGAACACCTCTGCACTTCCACGAGGAATCACTGGAATATTGGGTAATAGGGTTGGGTTTGCAGCAGGGTTCGTTTTGGTAAAGATAAGCTGAATTAATGTCCTAACGATCATATAATACGGAAGAGCTTGGGATTGAACCCACGGTCTTCTGCTCAGTAAGCAAAAACGTTTGCCACTAGGCAGACGTTGGGTTTGCAGCAGGGTTCGTTTTGGTAAAGATAGAAAGGAAAAATGTGTTGACGTGACACTCGCTTGGATGAAAGCCGAGAACACCTCTGCACTTCCACGAGGAATCACTGGAATATTGGGTAATAGGGTTGGGTTTGCAGCAGGGTTCGTTTTGGTAAAGATAAGCTGAATTAATGTCCTAACGATCATATAATACGGAAGAGCTTGGGATTGAACCCACGGTCTTCTGCTCAGTAAGCAAAAACGTTTGCCACTAGGCAGACGAGTTCCTTTTTAATCATCGAGTCTGCTATCTGTCACTGTTTGCAAAAATATCTAATAATATCTAAAATTATCTTTGTTGTAATACTTCCTGCATTTCCATGGTCATCTGGGAGGAGATTCGCGCCTAGTGCTTTCTCCAGGAACCGTTCACGGCCACAAACTACCACCCGTCTTGGGCGCATCCAGCGAGGCATCCTTCAGCTTGTTCACAATCTCCGACACTGACGAGAGACCAGCAGACGAGCACTTTTGCAAACCGTAAACTCGCTGATTAACGGCAACGTCGGCCACCGAATCACCACCAATACTCGCGGCGGACACATTATCAGCACTGTCCCCAGCTAATTTACCAACCGGAGCGTGTTCAAACTCGCACACGGTGACGAGACTATCGATAGAACTACACGCCGAAAGCGTAACATCCGAATACAGTGAACCGGCCTTCCGGTAGGTAATGAAAATCACAAGCAAACTTACACACCGCTGGTTACAAAAAAACACACCCGTGCAAAGAAACGGATCCAATAAACATCATTCTCTCGAAAGCAAAAGCTTCGAACGGCAAAAAAAAGGAACTCGGTGAGCAATTCTGTTATTTGGAGTTTCCACTGAAAATCAATCGAGAATGCATGAATTTCACCACACCCACTGCGAAACACGTTCAAAAGCACTTTTGATACACTTTCGGTCCAAAACACTTAATTGTTTGCAAAAATAGTTGCGAGCGAACCAGCATCAACAACGACCGTGACGACCTCTTTCACACACCTTACAGCGCGTAAATAAACTGAAATCAAAAATTATCACAAGCGATGCCACAAACTTCTAGTCCGGGAGAAAAATTAACAAACAACGCAGATAGCGACATCGCTTCTGATGCTTGCAAACATGATGAATCACGTTTTCTTTCTTGATTCTAAAAGCTCCCGGAAAGCGAGAAAACCACAAATCACACACGTATAACCGTTCGGGAGGCAGAGTGCCAGCGCTAATCCAACAAATGCAGCTGAAAACTATGAAAGCGAACGCACGCACAAAACAAAGAACAAACTTAAAATACAAGATTGTTGTTGTTGTTGTTTATTATTGACATTTTACATCCTGCGGATGCATTCATGTCAGTTCAATTGATTTTTGTGTAAACAGTGTGTGGGTGTGTTCAGAGTGATGTGAGGGTGAGTGTTAGTGTTTACGATACAATTCAAAATTAACTTAGCTTTCTTATCGTTTGCTCGTTTCCTGATTCATCGTCTGCATGCTCATCTCATGGTTTACACTTCTTCTCCATAAATTTCTTCTTTACTTCTTCTATATATATATTCACCATCTTCATTCTTCATGATCTTCCATATATCTTTTCCACATTATTTTTCGATTTCTCCGTTCCTTCCTTGCGCTTCATATTTATCTTCATTCTTCTGCATCTTCATAATCATTCATGTCTTCTGTAGTACTTTCGTTTTCTGCTTCATCTTCATCCTTTTTCACTTTATCTTCTTCGATTTCCATTCAGCATCTTCTTCATGAACTCATTTGCTTCCAACATTCATCGGTAACATTCTTCCACTGCATCTTCTTCCATTTCCTGTCCGACATCTTCTTCCATTCAGACTTCATTTTTCTTCTGCATCGCTTGCTTGTTCTTCATCCTCCGCTTCGTTTTCTTCCTATATCCTGCATTTTCCTTTCCATTCTATCTTCGCCCTTCAAAGCTTCCGATAAAGTTTGGTTTCATGCAGAAACTTCAGCAACCGCTTCTCATAATCATCGTCGTTGCGTAACGCCGTAAAAAGGCTTGTGGAATCGATTCCGTATTTCGTCCTGGCCGCTTCAAATTTTCTGCAGTGCAGAATAATGTGACGAACGTCAACAACGGTCCCACAGCATTCACATGCTGGCGGAGCTGTTTTCTTCAGCAAAAATTCATGCGTAACCCTAGTATGACCAATGCGCAGACGAGTGAGTATGCGTTGATCGGCAGAGCTGTACTGATCGATCCACTTCTTCGTTTCCCTTTTGACCTCCTTCAGCTTCACATCTGTCAATTGTGCCCAACGTGCTTCCCATAGCTGACGAAAGACTTGGTTCATGTTCTTGATGGAATCAATTCTTGGTACGGCAACGTTGATTGGTGGACTGTTTCGTGCTTCACTGGCTAGACGGTCTGCTTCTTCGTTACCGCGAATTCCGGCATGACCAGGGATCCAACAAAGGTGGATCGGCCGTCCACGTATTAAGCGCTCGATTTCCTGGATCCACGGATGCTGCGATCTACCACTCTCTATGGCCGAAAGACAGCTGGCCGAATCAGACAGAATTATAACACATTCGGTTGATGCTCTTGCAGCGATGACGGCCGACTTGATTGCAAAGGCCTCCGCCGAAAAAACGCTACATTGTGACGGAAGACCTATTGCTTGCTGAATGCTGCTACTAAATACACCTGCTCCAACTATATTCTCGCATTTAGACCCATCCGTATAAATAGCCAAAGCACGGCTAAACCGGTTAGCCAGCAACTCCTGCACGATGGGACGCACTGTATTCGGGGGGTCCCCAGCTTTCACCTTCCGTTTCACATCCCAAACAATATGCGGCTTGGGTTCATACCACTCTCGGTTGGCTAGACGTGTTCGTACAGCGATGT